GCTAAATGGAAAAAATCATGTAAAAAATTAAAATTTTTATTATTTTCAAACCGTTTTAAATCAAAACCGTGTAAAAACAGAATAAGGTGTATATACATATACATATATATTTTTTTAATTATTGTATAAGAGTTAATTTTTGTAGAGCGGCAAATTTCGTACAAAACTATGAGGTTTGATCAAATAATCAAACTTCAACCGTTAATATATTTTAAACGGTTAGGTTGACGAAATTGTAAGAGACCTTTTATAGAGTGAGATTTGAGTTTTCTATCTGATAATAAAAAACAAATACAATGTGCGTTCCAAAGTAAACAGTAAAAAAGTAACAAAGTAAACTCTTGTGGCGCCACTAGTGCGTTAGAATCTGCTATCCTTTATCGACTACCAGTAAAAATGTCATCATCTAATTAAAGTGAAATTATTCCGTTTTAAGTGTCAGTATGTTTTTGTCATCGGTGCGAAAATGAGCTTCGAACAAAGAGCCAACATTACAACAAGTTTATGGCGATGATTACCTATCCCGTAGAAGAGTGTACGAGTGGTTTCAACGTTTTCAAAGTGGTCATGAGGACATAAATGACGATGAACATGTGTGCCAACCAAAATCCGTGATCACAGTCGAAAGTGAAGACAATGCTGATTTGTTTTTATGATTCCAAGGGTATTGTCCACAAAGAATTTGTTATACCCAGCCAAAACGTTAATGCGGTATTCTACCTTGGAGTTTTGAAGCGTTTGGTGCGCCGTATTCGACGTGTTCGGCCCGAGTATCGCGAAGATGGAAGTTGGGGTTTGTTGCACGATAATGCGCCGTCTCATCGATCGACGCTTGTGGCCGATTATTTGACCAAAAATCACATTTTGACAATCAACCGCTCCCCGTATTCACCTGATATGGCACCGTTCGACTTCTACCTTTTTTGGAATGCACCTTGTAGAAGACAATAAAGCGGTGAATCTTCCCGTTACAATTTAGAGATCATATTGTACTTGGAGAGACTTTCTTAGATGTATCTAAGAACATACATTTTTTTTCAGAGTACCAAGCGAAACAAAAAATCTTCGTTTTTTTTTGACCCACCCACTCATTTGTATACTCTAGCAAAAATATACTACAGAGTATAATAACTTTGTTCACCCAACAGTTGTTTGTAACACCTCAGACTAATCGAAATAGATATAGAGTTGTATTTATATAAATGATATCCATGACGAGACGAGTTAAACCATATGCCTAATATACGAATATCAAATTTCTGGTAGAATTTATAGCGTATATGACGGCTACTTAGAAGAATTAAGTGATTTCCATCCATTTTGATTTCATCTGACTTTAAACTGTTTATTTTGGTCAAAATTTGTGTCATGAAATAATGAAATTAAGTGATTTCTCAACCATAATGTGATTTAACGCTGAATATGAATGCAATTGGTCTAGACGTTGATTTGTTCTAAACCTGATACTCAGGCTCAGGCCTCTGGTTGATGTTTTTCAATATATCTTAAGTTTTACTCAAGTTACCGCTTGCAAGGATGGGCAGACAGTCTTCCGTAATTCAACTTGTCTCGCCATGCTGATCATTTATATATGTATATTGATGATCATAATATAAATATATAATATATCTATCTCGATTCGATCTCGATAGATAATACTCTGTAGCAACATATTGCGAGAGTATACAAATTTAATTCTGTAATTTTCATCTTGAAGTTTCTGTATTGATTTGAGATTAACTTTGCCTAGGCTGTTTTTACCAAGTTATTATTCTTTTGAGTTCGGTTTCTAATGAGTTTGGTTTGATTAACCTGACTGAAGAACCAAGGTCTATCATAAATTTAAATAAATAAAATGATTTCGAGTAATTGTATATTGAACGTTTATAATTGTCCAAGATTGTCAAATGAAATGTTGGAGTATCTTTCTCAATAGGTATTTTACACCAAAACTTATAATCTGAATTCGTTTGAATCATTACACTTTTCTCTTTCTTTCGATTTTCCTGTAAGGTATGTACATACATATATACTATATAGGAATATAAATGATCAGTGTGACAAGCTGAAAATCCTCCTCCTAAAACACTTAAGGTACAACAACCAAAATCGCTCAAGACAAGTCCCTTAAGCCCCTCTTCCGAAACTGTAAAAATGGATGAAATCAAGTCCCACTCCCCATATAACGGTTCTGTTAACACCTACAGTAAAGCGCGATAAATCAATAAATAAATACGCCAGAGACAAAAAATTGTACACCTAGGATGATACAAGGACTTTATAAGAGCCAGGATCATAAATGGAAGATGGGCATGGCACCGCCCACATTTCGGTGAAAACCCACCACCCATAGCACCGATATCGACCAAATTTGGTATGTAATATTAACTTCACATTCCTATGTTTCAGTGGGTGAAATTAGACAACAAGCACGCCTACTTCCTATATAACACTATTTTAAATTCCATCTGATTCTTTCGCTTCCCAGTATGCAAATCAAGCACCAATGAATGTATCGGGATAATACTTATCACGAATTGTGGCTTTGAGGTGCGCCCTTTTATTAGCAAAAATTTTCTAAATCGGACTAAAACTATTTAAGCCGCCATTTACCTAATATGTGGACCCCAGTTCCTACAACGAACATTTTATCGAAAATATCAGTCAATCTGTGCGATATATAAAAATAAATATAAAAATTCGAAGATAATCGTTTTCTGATATTAATATGTCTATATGTCAAAAAAGGGTTGTATCGGGTCAACAATTCCCTTAGCACCCATACACGTAATATAAAGATTTTCGAACTATCGGCTGACTTTATATCGCACAAATCGGCAAATAAGTAAGATACCTTAGCAAAAAACGGGCATGACCCCGCCCTCTAATAGGTTTAATGTACATAAATCCTAAGCCACTAAAGCACAATTATCAAATTCGCTTAGGACACATCCTGTAAGAACCCTTACTGATAATGTGAAAACGGATGAAATTGGAGTATAACTCCGCCCTCCCCCGTATAACGGTTTTGTTTAAAATTACTAAAAGCGCTATTAATTTATAACTCAATGCGCCAGAGACATTAATGTTTTACACCCAGGATGACTCAAAAGGGCTTTATAAGAGCCAAAGTTATAATTGGAAAATGGGCATGGCACCGCCCACATATAAGCGAAATCACATATCTCCGGGCCTACTCGACCAATTTTCGCCAACTTTGGTACATGCCATTTTCATTGCCAAGTCGTAAATTTCCAAACCCCCAGATACCGAAGATGTGAATACGCGAGTTGAATAATTGAAATTCGAAGATAATACTTTTTTGATAATAGTATGTATGTATGTCCAAAATGGGTCGAATCAGGTCAATACTTCTTTTAGCCCCCGCATACCGAATATAACGATATTCTAACTTCCAGTTGACTTTATACCACATACAATATATCTGCCAATGTGGAATATCCGTCGAACAATGAAGTTGAACCCTTTCACTACATTTTTGAATACAAAGGTTTTCCAACCCCTGAAGGTATTTAGCCGTCTTTGATCTTTAAAAGTTGCACGAGTATAAAATGCTCGGTTACATCCAAACCTAACTCTACCTTACCTGCTTTTATTTACGAGTATCTAGGCAATCCCAGGAACAATGACGGTGCAATGCTCTAAATTGGATATGATTTGTAGAGGAACGCCGACTATATGAACTTGCGACAGTTTTGCACGTAACACTAGACGACAGTTCCTTTTTAATAGAACTGCAAGCAAACAAGCGAACTAATCCCGAATATAGACCTGAAATGCAGGACCCAAATACCCTGGAACATTCAAACAGTCGAACACATCTAGAGTAGCAGCAGCGCAGATGCGCGATACATTTGAACGATCTATCCAGCATCGCAATCCAATTATAAGAGAAGAAGAAAGGCAATAAGAAGCAACATTGAAGAGAAACCGTCTAAACTCAAATTTTTAACGTTTGAAAGAAATTATCAAGTTAGAAAGGGATCTATGAGGAATATCAAAAGACGTCGAGAACTTTTCCCGAAGTACTTGAAGAACAAGAACGAAAAAGTCAACGTCGAGCTTTGATATGTACGAATTGTTGATGAATAAAGGGCCAACTGATATAAGAATTTATTGCGGTGGTGAATGAAAATTTGTGCGTTCGTAAGATGCTGTAAATTTTTTTTTTACCTGTTATTGAAATTTCCGTATTCGAATCAAAAGTATAACAATAGGCAAGATACCAAATATCTGCATCTCATAAGGCTAATATCACCGAGGATCCCATTTATGCACATCATCTCCCTAGGCAATGAACGACAATTCGTGGAACAATGGTATATATACCGATTACTGTTTTAGAGACAGTCCCCATGCCGACACCAAGATATGAGCACATTTTTTTAACGCGGACAGTGCGACCAGAAAAAGTATTGCAGGCACTGACAACAGATTCATTGAATGGGTTGCAAAGGCACCAAGACAAGGTAGATGCCCAATAAATACTACAACCAACGATCAATTGGAAAAACTATGCTTACAATATACCTAAACTAACTATAATGACTTAGAAAACAAAGATAACACGATAGCTGCACTTTCAATAGCATGGGTCAGAATTTTTAAGAATTCTGCTCTAGAAACGTTTTACCAATCGAAAATAAGGAAACCGACCTCCTAAATATAGATGTCGAAAGAGTCTGAAAAGCAATTTCAGCAGAATAAGCCGATACCGGAAAACATGCATGTCACAACGGAAAAAACAGCTGATGATCGAGCTGTCCCAGAACTTTTAGACCCCGGTGCAAACGGCAGATATAAATGTTTTTTTAATGAGGACAAAAACACAAAGGAAGAGGATTGCAGTCATTTAACAGCAAACATAGGGAATATTTTGACCATGTAATGCACAATGTCAGTAAAAGAGAGCTTATAACGAGTATACCATGAGTATTCCTCGAAAAGTTAATTTTATATATTTGCTATGTTATGTTTACCTTGAGGCGTCAAGAAGTTTTGCCTTCAGTAATGCATTCTTATCCGGTTTGGGTAATGTCGAGACACTCACCGCCCTCCAAGGTGGTCTTTTAGGTTCCCCATCTCCACTTTGGTTGCTTCCAAACTCTTTTATACTCTTTTGGCTCTTAAGAGTCCTAAAATAATTTTTTATTATTTAACAAGAAAATAATATCTTAAACTACCTGTTTTGCGAGAAGAGATTTCTTGAGGCACTAGGTTCCGAAAATGTTTTGTTATCTTCGAAACTTTGAACCTCACTCGTCTCGGATGACGAACCACTATTAGTTGGAGGCGAGTTGTTTCTGCTCATTATTTCACAATTATGAATATTTTAGTCGAATTAATTTAAACCCATAACGTCCATTTAATGAAGAAATAATGTTCACATTTATTCCGATTTTTATGTACATATTACCAAATGCAATTTAATATATGTACAGTTTATTTTATGCTACACCCTTTCGAAAGTAGAATCAAACGTAGGAAGGTTTACCGTTTTTATGAGTAATAATTGCCTAACTGCAATATGGAAAGAAACGAGTAATCAAAATTAATTTGAGACCAAAGGTAACCTTTCCAACGAACATACTTTATAAAACTTTAAGACACTATTTTAGTTTATGTAAGAACTAGCAAGCTGCAAGGCTTAGTACAAATGTTAGGCAATATAAGTACGTATGTATATTAACTCAACATATTTAACACTTTTCTTATTAGGGTTTTTTTGCATATACATGTGCATAAATAAACAACTATGTATATATTATATATAGAAATACATTATTTTTGTTTCTATGGTATTTATTGATATAGAACCCTTTCATCGATAAAGCAAATTTTACCCTTTAAAACTATATTTCGATTACTACTACAAGTACATATGTATCTCAGCTACCTCACGCACGTTCAATCAACAGTCTGTCAATGCGAGATCGTGGATCTTTGCCACGTTATCCTCCATTATAGTCACTTTTAAGCTCATTAAACGAATTTCTGATAAGCGCAATTGAAGAAGAAGAGTCACCAAGCGCTCGTTGATTTCACTGGAAAGGAAACTCCAAAAACTAAAATTTAATTTATTGCAGATTCGAAGCGAGCGAATTGTCATTGCGAATGGAAATGAGTTAAACAAAAATTATTCCCTTTTTCAAAAGGTTGCATAGTTTTTGCCATATGAGAATCTTATCCTTACTAAGTATGTCTATGAAATTGATATTATTGAGATTTCTGTGGAAGTTCCATTTCAAGTCCTTATCGAACACAATATATGGTAAATAGATTAGCGAATGCATTAAGCTAGAACATAGAAATGTTCAAAGATTTTATTTTGAAAAATATGGATATTATTATCATATAAAGGAACCTTCACTGACGAACATTAAGGTGAAATATAATATATAATATTATATATTAAAAAAAATTAACAGTTTAAATGTGTGGGTGATGTAATTATAATTGAATGACGATTGAAGACTTGTACACAATAAATGTATACTTTATTTAAGCTAGTAAAATATTCTTTATTAAATTAACAAATAAATATTAAATTACAATTTTTGTTGGCTTTCGATGTACATCGAAAATTGTTCATAATTCATATTTTTACTACTAATTTAAAATAAAATTAATCTCTCAACACAAAGAAGTGTACAGTGTTTTGGTCAGTCCGTCTTTTGCGAATACAAACAAACTGGATGGTTTGAACATACCTCATAAAGTTATTCGGAATGCCACATAAAGTTGGGAAAAGCATGATGTACCCAACTCTAAGTCACAAACAGACAACGTTTTGAATTGTGAGTTATTGATCGTCCTTGCGAATGGCAATCTAATTAAAAATTGAGTGCGTTTGAATTCAATTGGCACATCTATAAGAATCATAGGGATTCGTGGCAGCAATACATTTTCGCCTTGGAATTTTTTATCAAAATGGTGGCATCGATAATATTTTTCATATTATTTAATAAGTATATTGTGCCATTGCAAAGTCGTGGTGGGTTTAAATAACGAAGAAAATAATCGGAGATCCAACCTTCAGTTGTAAATGGTGCGGTGGCATTCCCGGTACATCCAATGAATTCAAAACTCAATTGAATAATTCCCAGTTACGTTGACATCGCAAACAATATGGCAACAATGATTGTATCTTGCCACCAAAATCACTCTTTCTGCTAGCCACTCAAGATTTTTAAATTTTATGTTTCTTTCAGTTCGTGAGGAACCCATGTATCGAGTTTTTGAACATAGTCAAGTTGTTTTAAGTAATTTTCAATGCATGTATGTGATACCTGAAGCTTCTCTGCAATCTCACGTATTGTACTGTGACAATCCGAATCGATTATTGCTTTGATTAGGTCGTCATTAACTTCAACTGGACGACCCGAGCGGTTTTCATCTTTGAGTGAAAAATCACCAGAACGAAATTTGGCAAACCAATTTTGACACTGCCGTTTTTTTATGGCTTCGTCGCCATAAACAGCACATAACTTTTTCTGAGCTTGCGATGCGTTTTTCCCTTTGCGAAAATAAAAAGGCAAAATATGTCGTTTCAGATATCAACCAGAAATTTTCTGGTTGACGTCCTTTTCTCACTAAGATACTGCTCATTTGTCGGAAATGCCGATATCGGATCACTATAGCATGTAGCTGCTATGAACTGAATCACGTGTTTGTACGGAAAGCTTTTTCATTTGACGAGATATCTTTAAGAAATTTGGCACGGAATAGTTTTTTATTTGACAACATATCTTCACGACATTCGCCATAGTTATTATTCAGTGCATCGCTACAATGTCCGAAGAAATCGTTCAGATCGGACCACTATAGTATATAGCTGCTATATAAATTGACCGATAAAAATCAAAATAAAGATCTTTTTATACTCCTTTATGCTATAAAACAAAGCACCTGTTAAGGGTAGCTTCGGTGCAGCTGAAGTTTCTTGTTTTACATGCACTTCGTTTAATCGTTTGAATTCAGGTCATCATATTATTATGATGATTATCCGGTATTATTTCATCGTATTCGATGGAACTTTACTAAAAATCGTAAACAAATATTTTAACGAATAAGAGCAAATCTACACGTATCTATTATTGCTATTATCTTCTAACACTGCGGTAAAAGTTGAACTGAAACGCAAATAAATCAATAAAAGTCGATGTGTTTCAAGCATTCCCAAAACTTTCACCTTAATTTCATTTTGATATAATATTGTGGGGAACGTGAATGCTAGAAGAAAATAGAATCGACGATAAATTGTAAGAATCAACTCGACAGCGAAATTCGTGGCGAAGTTTTGTTAAAAATCTACTATATGAGGGCTGCCGGACTATGCAGCAGAGACAGTTCTAATTAGAGTTCTGCTCAGTAAAGAGCTACGTATAGCTCTCTTAACATTCCCATAGGTGAATATTGAAGAGAATATAATATGTATGCCAAACTGGCAATATTGATATGCCATTTGAAATATATTCCCTTTTATTGAACGATTATTTATTATTTTTTAAATTATTTTATGAAAAATATATTAAAATACTTTTAAATGATTACTGATAAAGTATTTTGATATATTTCTTAATATATTTCATGTACTTGGCACCATAATCGAGTCACAAAAGTACAGAATTGTGTTTTGCCGTCGGCATTTTCATATCATGTGTACATGTAAAGAAATATGAAAGAAAAATATTTGTAAATTTGTCTACAAAAAACATATGTATGTAGATATGTACACTCATTACTTCATGTGAAATCTCCGTTGACACGGTCAACCAATAACCGAAGCTCATGTTTTTTGCTTTTATGTCAAAGAGCCAATCTGTCGAAGGACTGAAGCGACGACAAAGCGTCACAACATTGTGTTGTTGGTAGAAAATCCGAGATGTGCCGAAAAATAAACGAACAATCGCCGATTGTCATCGCTTCCCTTGCCGCTCTAACAGCTTTGCCAACAAATCATTGTAAGTATGTATGTTTATATATGAACATGCACACATATTCACGATGGTTTTTGCGAGCCACCGAAAAATATTTTAGAATTGTGAAATATTTTGAATCGACAAAAGCTTTGTTGCCACTTTTGTCACTTTTTTCTGTGTTTTGGGGGTTTGCAGGGTTGTCACTTTTCCCTTCTAGAGGGAACATCAAAAAGTTTTCAATTTATGTATTCTAGCTTTTGTATCTGTTTACTTTTTTTTATTGTTAACGTTTAAGTGTCTAAAATTAATAAATTAAATAAATTTCATAAATTTCTATAATAACATAAAAGGAAGCCACGACATTCAGGTAAATTAAGTTGAAGAAAAGTGATATACAAAAATATTTTCTTGTTTCCATTTCAACATAAAGAAAGCTTTCACGTTAAGAAGCCTTAATTTTATGTTTGTCAGTTTCTAATGAAATTTTTGTACTCTTAATTTTTCACTACCAGCTGGTGAAGTGTAGAAATTTTATACAATATGACAAACAACAATTAAGGGGTGCTCGCAAGTGTCGTACTTTTTACAACTGTTGACATACGACATAAGACAAAGCTTGTGAATTGCCTAATTATATTATATAATATAACATATTGATGTACATACATATGTACATAGATAATTATGAAAATAGTAAAATGTCATTTTTTCCATAATCTTTCACATTTTATCAATGTAGCATGTGTGCAAAAATATCATATTTTATCAATTTTTCATCATAAAAATCGTTTATATTGCAAAAAACAGTCATGCATATGTGTAGTGGCATTTGTATTTTTTGTTTTCTTATTCATTTCATTTCATTTTTCTCTTTATGTTGGGAGATACGTATTTTGCCAGAGAACGATGTTATAAATTCTCATTTCTGTTAAATAACAGCAAATACTACAGGAAATGGTGAACTCCCTGATCTCAACTTTTCAGCTCTGTTAGCCATCCAATCGAGCATCATACAAAATTCAATTTGCACCTTCTCGTTCATCTACGTTCTCTGGTTTGGCAACTAATGAAATAAAAGCGGAATTACAATCACGATTGCGAGAGGCCATGAAAGCGGAAAACAGTAGTGTTGACGAATATGTTTCTCAATTGGAATTAGAGGCACAAACAACGAAGATGGTAGAAAAGGAAAGAGGCTCAATGCTTATAAGAAGTTATGGACATGAATACATTTTTGGCGGTAATGTTGCAGATGTCAACAAATATGGAAACAGTTTAAAAAGCAGAATGCACGTAATTAAGTAACTAATAAATTATATTTAAATTTCACCCACCGTTCGTAAAATTAGTTGATAAAGAAAAAAAACGAAGTGAATTTAGGCGGGTCCTCGAACCGAAAGATCCTTTTTTAGTTCCTTATATATCTATTAATGTCTTCATGGTGACGTGATCGTGGTGATGTTTATGTGCGTGTTGGTGCATGGTGAAGTGATGTAGAATGTATGGTAAGTAGGTGTTTGTTTTTTTTTTTTTTTTTTATTATAGCGAAGGAAAATACTTTTACGTATCTCGGGCAGCTTAGATGTTATGCCGGGTATGTCGGACTCGAACATTAGCTTAAGATGACTTGCTAATGTTAATACCGACTAAAAACCTCCGCTATCCTCCAGCCTCGTATCCCCATGGAAACCGCCGCTAGGCATTACTTCGTGGGGGGAGGACATAGCTACTGCTCTGTCTTCTGGTAGCTAAGATGTTATTTTATCTTCTTTCTAGTTGATGTCATTTGCTCTTTTTCTTTCTATGGAACGCAAATCTACAAGGATTTCTGTTGCAAATGTGCTAACGGCGTTCCAGGCGGCGTTTGATGACACCATTGTTTCGACTACTGTCTCTGGTTGGATCTTCTGGTTCAGACTCGACGCCAATTCCTCTCGTTGATGATAAAACCGTGGGCACTCAAAAAACACGTGCTCTGCGCTTTCATTAACTCCTGGGCAGAACGGACACTCCGGTGAATTATCGTGCTTGAAGCGGTGAAGATAGGCCCGGAAGCAACCATGTCCTGACAGCATCTGTGTAAGATAGTAATTGACCTCACCGTGGTTCCGGTTCAGCCAGAAATCGATCCTCGGGATCAGACGATGCGTCCATCTACCCTTTTCTGCGGCATCCCATTCGTGCTGCCAACGTGTGATGCTCTTCTGTCGTTCTTCTGTCTTGAGTTCTTCAGCTCTCAGTGTGGTTGACTTCTTTCGGTAGTAAAGGTTCCGTCTTTCCTCAGCTAGAACTCGAAGAGGTAGAGTTCCGGAAATGACGCACACAGCTTCTTCGGATATTGTGCGAAAGGCGCTAGCTACTCGTAGGGCACTCAGTCGATATACAGGCCCTGCTTTTCTCCATGACTCTTGATTCTCCAGTGCATTACTCCAGATAGATATTCCGTATGTGAGCACCGATGTCACTACTGAAGACAGTAATAACCTTCTGTTTTGCTTTGGTCCTCCGACATTCGGCATCAGTCGTGCTAGACTTGCTCTCACTGCTGATGCTTTTGCACTGACTTGCTGCTTGAAATTCAATCGGGCAGCAAGCATCACTCCCAAATATCGGATATAAGGTTGTGATGTAATTTTTTGTTCACCGACTTTCAGCTTGATGGTCTCTACCACTTTTCTGCTAGTAATAAGCACTGCCTCGGTCTTATGTTTCGCCAATTGAAGGTTCATTGTGTCCATCCACTGGTTGACTTGCTCGAAGACGATACCGAATATATGATTTATCTCGTCTAGGTATTTTGCGACCATCACTACGGCTACATCGTCCGCATGTGCGACAAGTTTGACGCTTCGCGGCAGTTTAAGTCTTAATAGGCCATCGTACATGATATTCCACAGAAGTGGACCAAGTACTGAACCCTGGGGTACACCTCCAGTAATATCGTACTCTTTGGGACCATTCGTCGTGTCGTATTTGAGAACTCTATCTGTGAAGTAGTTGGCCACTATCCTACACAGACATTCTGGGACGTTTTTCTCTTGGAGGGCTGATGCAGTCCCATTTGGCGGAATTTAAGGCGTTTCTGATGTCCAAAGCGGCCACCAGACAGTACTTCTTTGTACCACCTTTCCATCTAGTTCCAGCGATTGCCTCCTTGGTCGTGTTAACAACCAGATTGATCGCGTCCAGGGTTGATCGTCCTTTTCGGAATCCGTACTGATTGTCCGCCAGGAGCGGATCGACAACTGCTTCTATCCGTTGGTGGATTATACGTTCAAATATCTTGCCCACCGTGTCTAGCATGCACAGAGGATGACAGCTCTTCTGGTGGTTTTTTACCTTTAGGTAGTAGTACCAGTCGTTGCTGTTTCCACTTACGAGGTAAAGTCCCCTCCTTGAGGCAGGTGTTGTAGACGTCAAGGAATAACGCGATTTTACAGATGTTTTTAAAGCGATATTAGGGATTCCGTCCAATCCCGGCGTTTTATTATTCCCGACGCGGTTGCTGGCCTCCATCAGTTCTTCCTTCGTGACAGGTGGAATGTCTTCGGAATTCAACTGCAGTGATGAATACATAAAATCACGTTGCCGTGGAAACAGCGCAGCTACGATCTTCAGTAGGAGTTGTGGGCACGTTGGCGATGGCATTGGCTGGCTCTTCAGGTGGGTCATGACCACCTTATACGGTCTACCCCATGGGTCCCTATCCACTTCTTCGACGAGTTCCGTCCAGCAGCGTCTTTTGCTTTCCTTGATGGCTTTGTTTAGATTCCGACGCGCCTGTTTGTACTCTGCAATCAGCTCTGCAGAGTTAGGTCGTCGGTAGCCACGCTTAGATATTCTTCTTTTCTTAAGACACTTTGCCCGGAGCGTACTGACTCGGTCGTTCCACCAGTGCACCGATGGTCGTTGATTATTACCTCGTTTACGAGGCATGCTGGCGTCACAAGCTCGGGTCAGTCTCGTCAACAGATCTTTGGTCTTATCTTCTGCAGGTCCAGTGATAATCGGGTCAGAGTCTAGAGATACTAGCAATGCACTTGGATCAAAGGATTTCACTTTCCAACCGATGGTGTTCAGTTGGTTATTAGACCTTCTAGGGCTCTGGTGGTTTGCTGTTTCCCACAGAATTGCATTGTGATCGCTGGCAGTGTAGATGTTTAACACTCTCCAGTTGCAATTTTTTCTGGCAATACTGCTGCTGACAAAGGTGAGATCTACAATCGAGCTTGCGTCGCCTTTGGTGTAGGTCGGCATGTCACCACTGTTGAGCAGTACCACATCTAGTGTAGTAAAGGCCTCTAGTAGTGCTTTTCCTCGTGCGTTAGTGTATTTGCTGCCCCAGTCCACTTCCCAGGCGTCGCGTCCTTGGTCAGTCGATCCAGGAAGTCTATGAATTCAACAATGGTGAGGCTAGGTGGTGCGTAGCAGCTGTAGAAGCGGATGCCGTCTACTGGTGCTGCTACAAAGCCGGCGCTGACATTGTTAACGACACTCTGAAAGGGGAGCTTGTCACAAGACCATATGACAGCTTTGGTGGTGATGTCTGTCTCCCATGGTAGGCCAGTTAGTTGTTTATAAGGCTCCGATATAAGCACAAGGTCAATCTTCAGTTCACGTACTATCTGCATAAGCAAGTCATGCGCAGCTTCACAATGGTTCATGTTTAGCTGCAGTATCTTCATGCTCGGTTATTTGTAATCTTCTGAAGCGCTTCTTGGAAAACCGCGCATTTACTAGAGCCAGCCTGATGGTAAATGTCCTTTAAGTCGGACTTTTCGGGACATAACAGGCACTTTGCCTTATTTGCGCACTTAGCGGCTTTGTGATCTGATTGTCCACACTTCATGCAGAGCTTCGATCGGTCGGTTCCACTTTTGCACTGTGCAATGACGTGTCCATAGTGCCAGCATTTATAGCAAGGTCGCGGTCTTCTTACTATTCGAATCCGGCAATTAGTCATGCCAGTCCTGATCTTGCCATTCTCTCCAACTATTTTTCGCGCTGTTGCTACCGGTAGTGTTACCCACGCAGTCTGAGTGCGACTGAAGGCCGCGCGGACCCTGATAGCATTTGTTAGTATCTCGATGCCATCTCCAGCTGCTTCTTTTAGGGCCTTCTGGACGTCGTCTTGAGTCGTGATTTCATCAAGATCACGGATTTCCAGCTCCTCTTGAGGACCTTTACTGATGACAGCTGCATCATCCAGAAGGGCGCCTGCGATAGTCTTCTGAAGCGCGTGGCCTTTATCAGTACTCTTCTTTGAGAGCGTGATAAGCATGTTTCCAGCTGCTGTCATGCGGATCTTGTCCACATCACAGACCTGATCTTTGGGGACCGCTGCCTTGATCCGAGTCAGTACGTCGGAATACTTCACGTTCTCCTTCAGGCGTCCGGTTTCGTCCATTTGCGTGGTTTTTTACGCTTAGGCTTCGGCCGGGGTTTGTTCGTCGGCTGCTTTGAGGGCTGCTCCTTCGTTTGCCTTCTCTTCTCCTTTTTCGATTGGACTTTCTGCCATTTAAATTCCTCTTCTTTGCCGATGCTCTGCACAGGCTTGGTTTTTGGAGGGCTTTGTTTCTGGTCCTTTTTCTTCTTAGCTTGGGTGTCTGTTAGGTCTGGAGAATGCCTCTGCTTTCTCTTTGCAGTCCTAGAACGATCCTTCTTATTGTCATCAGTAATTGACTTACCATCTTCTACAGGTCCGGTGTCCATCGCATCACAACTTGGGACACTCTTCGTTGGTGTCACAAGCGGAGATGTTCGGGTGGTTGTTGCCAACATCGGTGGTGCTTTACTGGCCAACTTATAGGCCGTACCGATAGACTTCACCAGCTCTCTGATTTTATGATGTATGTTTTTCTTGTCCTCAATAAAATCAGCTAACTCAGCGATTTTACTACCAAGCCGTTCCATAGGCGTTTGGTTACCGGTGACGGTCGGTAGTGAATTCATCCTCTCTCGGTGAAGATGTGTGAAGAGCCGTGCGACAGTTTCTCTACTCGCTGGTAGTGAGTCAATACGCTGTCCGTCAACATCCATTTCTTCTGATCTCCCTGTAGCATTTCTTGACGGCGGAGCCATGGGGTCCACTCCGCTGTTCAAACGTTCTTCTTCTTGATTCGTTAGTTCCTTATTAATACTCATACTTTTTGCTTTACCAGCGCATCGTACGCAGAGGAGCGGGTTGCAGACTAAGAACGGGTGTACCCTCGGAGATATTACTCCTACCCCAGTTCCCTGAGGCCTAGTCAACACTTGGCCAGTCCCGAAATTCACGGACGGACTAGACTCGCTCGGGGCACAACACGGTCTCCGCACCGTGGTCAATGCGTACTTCCTGATCAAGGCCCGAAGTGGCTGGCTCCTGATCTACTACTGCAACTTACACCTCGGCAGAGCAAGCTCGCATCAGCCGTTTGCCTGCATCGACGGAATAACGATACAGGTTCCAGACACTCCCAGTGGGTTACAACAGAGACCAATCTTCTTTTGGTCAGGTCCGGTAGTGTGACCAACCCTTCGTAGGGGAGTTTTGTACACGGGAGCTATTTTGTTTCACTGCAACCCTATGCCCCTAAGGGGAGGGAGGGCTTCTCCAATCCACACGTGGAGACGCGCCTGTTAGCAGTATCTTCTCTGCTACAGGTCGTAAGTAGGTGTGCTAATGTGGATCTAAATTGATGTGGTGTGACAGTGTCTTATCGTGAGGGGGGACTAAGTGGTCATTTAGCCATCCCGGCCCCCCTAGGCAAATTATTAGCCTAGTAGCCGCTGCAGCTGTTGTAGCGTTGCCACAACGCTGCTAAGAGCCGTGGAACGACGTGGTTGCGGTCCAGGTTGTCGACGCCGTATTGATGCTCAATTCCGCGGGCGTACCGCACGTACCTGGGCAACTTCCTGTCGTTGCAACGGTCGCATACCTCTAAAAATCCCACAATGTTGCAGGCGGTTTGGGCGCCGACATATGGGACATCGTATACGATGTGCCTCTGAAGGCAGTGATGATAGCGTCGGTGGTGGTCGCGTGCCACACATTTGGAGTCATTGGCTTATCCACATTCATGTTATTCTGTCTAAAGGAGTTGTTTGATTATGCAGATTTGTCACATAAACGATATGGATGATCGTGCCACGCTATGTGGCATGAGTGGGTTGTCGTATTGATCGATCATTTTTTATTAGTTAGTTGTTATTTTTAACGGTTATTAACGAGTTTTTCGGTTTTTTGCTTCTTGGTTTGATTATTTTGTTATATTGCGGTAGTATCGGTTGATTGTTTACGATTTGCAGTGTCGCTATTATCGGCGTTCCGCTTAGATCAACTACTCGTATGTGACCGTCGGAGCCGTAATGGGGTTTTTCTATGCGCCCAAGCCGCCATTCGGTAGGAGATAGACAATCATCACGGATAATGACACCATCTCCAAGTTTTAGGCCCTGTTCAGGAGTCTTCCAACGGTATCTTTTATGGAGATCCTTTATGTATTTTTCTTTCCATCGAGTGCTGAAATCGTGATGGTAAGTTTTAATTCATTCCCAGCGATTTAATAAGGATAGTGACTCCACGCCTGGCTCAGGTATGGCCAGAATGGGTGTTCCTTTGAGAAAGTGCCCTGGAGTTAGGTCTGTGAAATCTGAGGGACCTAGCGAGAGAATTGTGAGAGGCCGTGAATTGAGAACGGCTTCAGTTCGATTTAATAATGTCGTAAATTCTTCGAAGTTGAATTTGTAATTTCCAGCTACCTTTTTGAAGTGGAACTTGAAGCTTTTTCAGCTGATTCCCATAATGATGAATTGCCAATTAATGATTTGGGGCGCGTACTTTTGTACAATCTCAGGTGAGACTTGTTTGATAAACTCAACAAAATGTTTTTCGGTGGCTCTTTGAGCGCCGATAAATGTTTTACTATTGTCGCTCATTATCTCCGATAGAAAGCCGCGTCGTCCGACGAAGCGAGCAACTGCCACAAAGAAAGCATCCTCAAAGACAACCACATAGCCTTTCATCAGAGTGGGAGACCTTAACATGGACGCCTTTATTTGAAAAGGCCCAGCAAAATCGACACCTGTGATGAAAATGTAAAATTCTGGGCGGACCATATGTTGCATGAGGCGATGTTCGGCATGAAGCATTAATATGTGGATATAACTGATGAGTAATGTGGCAAGTCGCAACTTCTCTGGTACAATTATGGGATGGCGTTCGTTAACGTTAGGCTTGAATTGGCAAGCCGACCATTCACACGAAGAAGACATTTCGTGTCGAGGAATGGGTTAGAACTAAGAGAGTAGCGCGCTTGAGTATATGCGATAAGAGCGACCTTTGCTTTTTGTAAGTCTAGGTGCGTCAATGTATCGCATTAAGAATATAATGACGTTACTCCTTTAAGTTTAATTTTGAGTCGCTCTATGAACTTGCGCATATAAGCGATTACTCTGAGTGCTGGGGATACGAGGAAAATCGCTCGAGGATGTCATTATCCTGCAATTTTGTGTGAAAGGAGTCGATTTTGCGACTCTCTGGGGCAATTATTTTACGCATAAACATCGAGGGCCATTCTACGATACTCTTGTACCTAGATTGGCTGGGTTGTTAGCACTGGCTACTTGTCGCCAAGTGGCCGATCCTACCAGGCCAAGTATTTGAGATGTTTGATTGAAAATATACGTCTTCCATGGTGGTTTTATTAGCCAGGCTAGTACAATTTCCGAATCGGACCACAGATATAGTTTGTATTTTGCCATGTTTAAATGCATTCGCACCATGAATAATATTTTGACTAGTAGTAGCGCTCCACCCAGTACAAGTCGTGGTAGACTTATTGTTTTTAGAGGGGCTACTTTAGCTTTTCCTACTAGTAAGTGGCTTGTGGTCGCAATGTCGCTTTGTGTGCGTACGTATATAGTGGCGAAATATGCCTTTTCAGAAGCGTCACAGAGGCCGCGTAGTTTGACTTTTTGCTCTGGGCATAGTTTACCCATCGAGGGACTTGTATCTGTGAGATATCATTTAGATTGCTCACAAATTGCGACCACCTTTCTAAACGTAGTGGTTTTACTTGTTCATCCAAGTCGGTTCCATCTAACCATAATTCTTGTTGCACTTTCCTTTTCGAATTTAAGGAAATTAGTGTCCAACAAATTTTCTTTTGGTATATTTTTTACTATATTTGGGTGATTTGCAGTAATTTTTTTTAAAGAAAACCCTGCGGGTTTGAGGGCTGATATAACCTGTGATAAGGATTCGTATGCTTGCG